CGCGGACGCGGCGGGCCGGCTGGCTGCCGGGGCTTTCTGCGCGGAACTTTGGGTATGACAGCGTGGACCTGCGTGTGCGTACCCGCGCGCAGGAGGCTTTGTGTACAACTCATGCGTGCGTGTGTCTGCCGATTGGATTTGTGAAGCTTCGCCCATCCTCGCTGGGCTTCTGTTTCCCTGGGTGCTAGGGTACCTACGCCATGGGCCGGGTGTTGGGGCCTGGGCAGGTCTGGGGTGGACATGGCTTGGATCTCAGCCGTCCTAGGAGGACCAGGGGAATCTTTCTGAATGGTCTGTCTGTCTCTCTGTCTCCCTTTCTCTCCTCACTCTATTCCCTCCTTAGTACCAGAGTGGCCCGCGGGTCACACTGCTGGCTCCCCGTACCTGGGGGTGTGCCTTTCAGGACCTGCCCCACTGCAGATGTGTATGGTGGTGGTGGTGTGTAATCAATGGGCACCAGAACATGGCATGGCATGGCCTTGAGTAACTAACTGGTGGGCACCGGGACCTTAATGAGAAAAAAACATATTCTAAAACTGAGGGTGGAGGGAACCCCCCCCACACACACACACTGTCATCCTATGGAAAAGTTTTGGGTTCTTGCAGGGTGAAAGAGAGCCCCAAGCCAGGAATTTGAGCACCCAGATTTCCTCTGGGATATAGGGTTATCAGGGAAGAGGTAGGATATTCAAGGGGACTGATGGGTGGGGCACATCTGAGCACCTTAGCACCGTGGACCGTACCGTGGACCGTAGCTTATGGTGCTAAGAATAAAAAGTCAGCCAGCTCTCCTGTCTTTCCTGAGCACTCACCAGGGAGTGAGAGGGCCCTAGGCAGGACCTTCGGGGCTCTATTACAGTTGGACCAAGTGGAGGGCAGGCAAGGAGCAGGATGAGCTGGGGAAGGAGGGTGGAGTGCTGTCACCGCACACGAAGCACAGCTGTGCAGGCTTTAGGGTACAATCATCTTAGAGCACCTGCATTCAACTGGCTCCCTCATGTGTGCCATGGAATCTGGGCATGTTTCCTGTTCCCTGTGAAGATTAACCAAGATATTCTTCATCCTGAATGGAGGGTCCAGAGTCCAGCACATAGTGGGTGCTCAGTGAACACTTATTAAATGAATGCTCCGGAAAGAGGGACAAAGTGACAGAATTGTCTGTAGAAGCAGGTCTTGTGCTCAGATGAAAGGCCCAGTGCTGCCCGTCCACATGGTTCGGAAGGTCAGAAGAGGAAAGCCTATGCCTTCTTGCATGGAACCTCTTGTCCTCAGCATGTAATACTTCCATTTCATTCATGCTCACTTCATTCATTTGCTCAGATTCACACATACAACTGCAGAGCATGAGAGAATAAACACGAGAATGCACAGCATCAGGTATGTGTGCATGTGAGTGCATGTGTGCACATGTGACAGATAGCAGCACAGAGCCATTCTGAATCTAGGGGATGGTGTCTCTGGGATGTGTGAGCACTTGTGTGTTCAGGGGGCCTGAGTATCTGTGCCCAGGGCCCAGCAGAGCTACCTGCTGTGTGGCTTTGAAGTGAAGGAGGGGCCTGTGGGAAAGAGACAGGATCTGGGTGAGACAGGACTAGGCTGATAGCTGTCCCTGGGTGTTAGGAAGGAATGGCACCAGAGTGGGCTGATTCTTCCATTGTTCAAGAGAAGAAAAAGCCAGGCATCCAAAAAGTAAAATGGGCTTTTGCTATACATATAAGTGTGTGTGTGTGTGTGTGTGTGTGTGTGTGTGTAAAACTAATTCACTGAAACCAGACTAGAAATAAAACAAAGCAAAAATTTGTGTGAGTCAAATCTGGCCATGGGACTGTAGATAGGTATTGTTTGACAGATGTGCCCGTGTGTGTGTGTGTGTGTGTGTGTGCGTGCACACACACACATGCATGCGCACTTGTTTGAGCATGGTGGGATATCCCAGCTATCCTAGCTTTGCAGCTTACGGAGTCCCCCTTCTCCCTCCTCCCCCTTTTCTTCTTCCCCCCTTCCTTCCTCCTCCTCCTAACCTCTCCTATTCAGTTTCAGTCCTGACTCTCAGGTCTGCACCTCCCCGCCTCGCTACTCCTTATCCCAAGGAGTGAAACACATAGCTTGTTCTAGCCCCAAGCAGCCTCCCTGTGAGATGAGCCACCACAGGGCCAGTCCGTGCTCAGGGACCAGTGTGGTGTCAGCTCCCCCAGCCCCCTGGCTTCCTGGTGGACCCTGCCCTCCATTCTCCTTCTGCTTCCTTTCCTACTATCTGTCCTGCTGCCTTCTGAAACTCACCTGGATCTCAGCCCTTGGAGTTCTAACGCCATACTCCCCTGACTCCCCGGCCTGGCTTTCAGAGCCCTCTGAGCTGCCTCTGGGGCCCTTCTTTTCCTTTCCTGAATTCCCTCCTAGATCACCTTACTTATGGGGAGCTCCATAAGTCTGGCCCCAGGAACAGCAAGTCTCAGAGGCTTCCCTGGTTCCTCTCCTTTGTTCTCACCCCTCTCCATCCTCACCACAAATAATGATGCTCATGCATTGAACCAGCCAGGGCCTCATGTGCATTGTACTTGAAATCCTCACAGCCACCTTGGGAGGAAGATGTTTTGTTTATTCCCACTTTACACATGAGAATAGTTAGTCTGGAGAGCCACCCACACCATGTGCCTAAGCTCAAGATGGACTTAAAGCCTATGGCTGCCCTAAGTCCCTCCATCGCTGACACTTCTGTGTGTTGCCTCCATCCCACACTAGGCCTGTGCAGCAGGGAGTGCTGCTATCCTGTCACTCCATAGACGGAGACACAGAGGCCTAGAGAGGCTGAGGGACTTGTTCAAAGTCACATACCAGCCAGTGCTGGAGAGGATCTTTGCGTGGACCATACTGCTGTGTCATTGTTCTTGTCCCCATCTCCTCCTCTGTGTGTCCAGCCAACCCCGGGTGGAACCACACCCATGGACAAGTGTGACGTCCCATCGCAGCAGGCATTTACTTGGCAGAAGTCGGCTGAATTCAACTAATGTGCTGTTTTCTCTTCTAGCTGCCAAGGGGCCAAGGGATGAACTGGGGTCTTCCTTCCCAATGGCATCGATCCCTGGACTGGAACTGAAGACATTGAGCAATGGTCCCCAGGTCCCAAGGCCACCCAGAGTGGGTGTGGATAATGCCTGTTTCTCCTCTGAGGAGCATGAGACTCGATTCCAGTACTCTGGGGATGCCAGACTGGGTGGCTCCCCCAGCTCCCCAGGGCATGTTTCCTCACTGCCCCGGTCTCAGAGGGACGATTTGTCCCTGCATTCAGAGGAGGGGCCAGGGTTGGAGCCCATAAGCCGCCCGGTGGATTATGGCTTTGTTTCTGCCCTGGTTTTCCTGGTGAGTGGGATTCTCCTGGTGGTCACAGCCTATGCCATCCCCCGTGAGGCCCGCGTCAACCCAGACACAGTGACCGCGAGGGAGATGGAGCGCCTAGAGATGTACTATGCCCGCCTGGGCACCCACCTGGACAAGTGCATCATCGCGGGCCTGGGGCTACTCACAGTGGGCGGCATGCTCTTGTCTGTGCTGCTCATGGTCTCCCTGTGCAAGGGTGAGCTGTACCGCCGGCGGACCTTCGTCCCAGGCAGGGGCTCCAGGAAGACCTACGGCTCCATTAACCTGCGCATGAGACAGCTCACTGGGGATGGAGGCCAGGCCCTGGTGGAGAATGAGGTTGTCCAAGTCTCAGAGACCAGCCACCCCCTCCAGGGCTCTTAAGTAGGATCACACCCTTGGTGGCTGCTTCAGCTGCAGGTCTAAGGCCCCCAGAGGCCTGAGCTCCACATAGTGCCCATGGAAGGAGTCTTGGTGCCAGAGAAGGAGACAGAGCCTGGGCCAGGCCACATACATGCAAAGTGCTCACTGATCTGTTTTGCAGCTTGAGGTTTTGCATAAGGTTTTGTTTGGAGGGGGATGGCTTCTGCTGCTAAAAATACAAAGTTTGGAAACCACTGCTCTTGGAAGATGAGGTCTCTTGGCATTTCTGAGGGCTGAGAGTTGTTTGAAAGATTGCCCAGGCCTGGGGGAATTCTGAGACCTCCACCAGCCTCTTCTGCCACGGTTTGATCTTGGCAGGGTAGGGTGGAGGGGGATTTTGAGCTCTGGCCATCCACGGTGGCAGATAGCTTCTTGAAAATGGGGATCCCATTCAGCATTGGGGTGACTCCTGAAGCATTCCACTGACTGAACTATAATCTCCCCCACTACAGACAGCTGTTAGGCTTGTCCATAAAGTGAGAGGTTAAACTGCACAAACCCTTAGGGCCAGCTCTGCCCTGGAAATGAGAACCCCCCAACTCTGACCTGGGCCATTCCTCCAAGGACCAGCAGGCACGAGTTATTCTCAGTGACACATTCTGGCCCACCCTTGGTGATCACCACTTGGTGACTCAGGAGTGGTGATCTTAGGCCTTCTAGAGTCCTTTGGTCCAGTTGGGCTAAATCTATCATTTGCCAAAACCTTAGTTTTGGTCTTGGGGTATCACTTCCCGTAGTGCAGGTGAGTGGGAGGCCGTGAGGGCTTTGCTGTGTCTGTGGCACAAGGTGGGCCATTGTCACTTCCTTTCGCAACCGTGTGTCCCTAGGAATTGACCTCATCCTGGTAGTAAAAAATGTTGTTTTTCTTTTAAAGAATTTTTTTAAATGCTGAATTTGTAGCAAACTATAGATATGATCCCTGAAAGTATACCCTGAAGGTATAAATGCTGAATTTGTAATCTTTATTTCTCCTCTTAGTAGTTAACATGCAGCCACATTTGGGGAGAAATCAGGCACTTTTAGGTAGATACTCCAGCCATATTGATCACTGTTTGTTTTTGGTCCTGTGGAAATTTTGCCCCAAACTCCCTTTAAACTTCTAACAGGGAAGGGACACAGATTCTAAGGGCAAGGGGCTGTGGGTGTGTAAGGATTGGGGGCTTCCAGAGCCCATACCGTCTAAGCCACTGGTGAGTTGTTTTGGTGATCCCCTAGGGGCTGAGGATCTGGGCTGTCATGGGGTATGGATGGGGTGGGTGGTGGGGGGAGGCAGGGGGAGTCTGTGGATTGGAGATGTCCTGAGTCCCTGTAACAAGAGCCTTCAGTCTAGCGAGTTGAGCCTCTGGGGCAGTGTAATGTCACAGCTTCTGAGACAGATCAAATATCTGCTTCTGCTGGCAGTCTTTGCCCAGAGCTGAGGGCCCAGTGATTGCTGAGGGGACAAAGATGGTAGAGCTTGGCCTCCCAGGTTTGGAGGTAGTGGTGGTGAATGGGTGGAGCTTGCCCAGCATGTGCGGGAGGATCACAAGTCCTGGGCTTGTGTAGACAAGTCAGTCTCTCTCCCTCAGGCTCCAAGCAAAGGAACAACGCAAAGAATTCCACCCCTGGTGAACCACAGTGGAACTGGACCATCCCAAATGATGGGCCCAGGCTTTGCAAATCCATAATGATAATAATAAAAATGTGAACCTAAGCCATACTGGTTCCTGTGACAGTGGCGGGGGGGGGGGGGGCTTATTTGGTTCTTAAACCTGTGAAGAAGCTGAACCTGAGATCATCCACTCACATCCATTGAAATGCAATGAATTGTATTGAGGGGGGAAAAAATCCATGAGAAGATTAAATTCCAGGAATCTCAGGTTTTTCTCTAAACCACAGAAGCCTGCTTTGCATGCTGATGCGGAAACTCCTTTAGAAAATGTGGATAATGGATCGAGGCAGTCATTACCTTGTCAGTGAATTAAGAAAAACGTGAGAGATGCCAAAAAACATTTCCCTAGATTGCAGCTGAGCTCTCCCAAACTGGCAGATCCCAGACAGAAAGGAGTCAGGTAGAGGGTAGATGCCTAAGAAGGTCCTTTGTAGGGTTTTTCTCTCCCACACAACAGGCTACCATGGTTCCAAAAGCCGGATTTTCCTCGCAGTATCTGAACACATCGCGATTTTGGAGAGCAAGCCCTGGGGATACTCATGGCTAGCCTTCGGCGCCTTCTCACTCTGTACCTCTGGCCCACTGGCAGATCATGCTGGTTCCACTTTTAGTCTCATCACAGCTCATTCCTTGGCCACTGATACCCATCCAGGATACTCTCTGGGGGTCTTGGCTTTCTTTCCTCCCCCTCCCTCCCACCCCGTGTTCAGCTAGGTCAGGTCATCCCTCTGCCCTAAGCCCTGCTAAATGTCTCTTGTTCTAAGCAAAACTCAGCCAGAGGTGGATGGAGGCAGGACTAGCACAGCTCATGCGTCCAGATCCCTCCCTTGCACAGCCCCCTTCTGAGGCCTTCAGAGGCACCCAGTCCTGGGCCTTTGGAAGTCTCCACTCACTCATCTCAGGTGCTGGCTGGGATCCACTGCTGTTGCTCCCTTTCTCAGGAATATTACCTTCCCTGGGATTCCCTTTAAATGCCCTCCTCCTTGCACACATGCATCTGCCTACATGCATGCAGGTGCATATGCACATACCGTTGTGTGTACACACTCACATCCTGTAACACACACACACACACAGCTTCCTCTTGTCTGACCTTGCTCAGAAGCCAAGGACACATGCTCTGGGAAAGCAGCACCAAGCCAGGGCATCTTTTGGATGATTGACGATGTTTGCTTTCTCTGCCAGCTACAGGCTGTGCGGTTCCCAGCATGCCTCCCTCCCCACTGTCAGATCTGCCCTTTCCAGGGTGGGCCGCCATCTCCTTCCATACTCTCTGCACTGCTTCCAAGCCTCTTCCCTTGGGGAGAAGAGGATGATGTCTAAGACGTTTACCTGGGCACTTTGGGAGGGGACTAGGTGAGCCAGGTCCTGCCCAGTGTTGACTTTGGGCAGGTAGGTCTACCTCCTTGGACTTCCAGAGTAAAACTGGGCAGGTAGAATGTGGTTCCTTGAATGTCAAAGGGCAGAAGCAAGAGGAAGATGGAGTGTCAGTAGCACTGAGGAAGGCAGAGACACTCAGAGGAGAGAAGCTTGCTGAGATCGCTCCCAGATGCTGGTGGTGAGTACCTCATCACTGAAGGGATGTTAGCAATCAGGCACTGTATATTCAGGCATGGAGCTTGTAGAGTCTGGTGAGCTCCCTGAGCTTTTACACCTCCTGTGAGAAATGCCAATGCTCCATTGGCCAGAGCCTGGCTAAAGACAAGGACAACATTAGCCCAAACACCCTCTTCCAGGCCTAGTTTGCCCAGGGACAGATGGGCAGAGGTACCAGGCCACCTGTGAAGTGCAGAGTGTGACAGGATGGCCACCTCCCTCCTCCGTGTGTGTGTGTATGTGTGTGTGTGTGTGTGTGCGCGCGCGTGTGCACATGCGTGCACATGTTGTGATTCCCCAGGGGAATCTAGGCTGAGAGCAGAGCCTTCCAGAAGGACTGCATGAGATCTGTCTGATGGAAAAGTCAGTCAGTGCCTCTAGACTGCCAGGGTGCTGAGAAGGTGCCCAGTGTCTTGTAGACTGTTTCCTGAGCTGTGTAAGTGACAGTGCGAATCTCAGTACCTTCCCCAGAAGCCTGTCCAGGAAGCACTTAGCACGGTGCTTACTCACTTGATGCTTTCTGCGCCGGTGCTTCCTAATTGTTTGGTAAATGTCAGCGCTCAGGTTCATTTATTCAGGCACATCTAATCTCCATTCTTCACACACAGCCCCTGTCCTGGAGCCACTGCCAGGCTGGCTGGGGAATAGGGCAGTTCAGTGGTCCCTGTGGTGATGTGGGAAGCAGGGAGGCTTGTGCATGGGGGGGGGGTGCGGATGAGGCAGCTGTGTGAGCTGGAGTAAGGCTGTCCTGGTAGGGGAAGGCTTAGTAGGAATCTCAAACAATGAAGCAGCACCCATGTGGGATGAGGAGAAAAGACACCCCAGACACACACAGAGGCCAGCGTGAGCCAAGTCCTCCACAGCAGGCAGAGTGGGGATGGGGGGGGGGTAAGGTCTACAGGTTCTGTGCAGGACGGAGTGGGAGATGACATGCTGGAGTATGGGGGGGTGGGGGTGCGGGTGGAGTTAGTAACTGGCTTGCAGGTTACTGTGAAGACTTCTACAGGCTCCAGGAGTAGCAGAAGCTCTGTTTGCCCTTGGATGGCTACAGATGTGTGTACCAGGAAGGATCTGCAAGGGCAGATGCAGTGGGGGAGGACTGTAGCACTGTGGCTTGCTGGGGGAATTCTCCAGGGCTCCCGCTGCAGTCCTGACCCCAGCATGACCTCAAGCTCCCTCGTGTGACCTCTTACCTCCAAGGTCAAGACACAGCCACTTTCACTGAGTGAAAGGGAGCTCACTAACCAGCTCTGCTAGCAGGAAGACTGGCCTCAGGGAGCAGGGAGGGAGCCGGGAAGGTGGCGGCTGCCTTGTCAACCTCTTCCCAGGAGGTATGGTGTCTGGGCCCTCACTGACTTAGGGCCAATGACCTTCAGCCACTCCTTTCCAATCATCTCTTTCTTCTTCTCTTCTACTCTCCCTACATCCTTTGATCCCTGTCTCTGTGTCCACCTCTCTTTCACTGAAGCTGCTCAGGAGCGGCCAGGCATCCAGAGGTGAGCTGTCACTTTTGCTGACTCTCCTGCCAGCCGCCAGCCACTCCTGAGCCCCCACCAGATGAAAGCTGGGACCAAGTGCAGATGTCTGCAGGGCTTGGCAGGGACATCAATGAACGCAGCGGGTGGCTGTGGCAGTGGTGGCAGGACCAAAGGGCATCTGTTCCAGCTCTGGCCAGCTGTTCCCTGTGGTCACCAGAGCCCCGGGTTTCTCAAGGGCAGCTGAACAGCTCAACTTTTAAGTGGGCGCAGAGATGATGCCAGGCATTATCACATTGCCGAGGCCACAGCTGGGGACAATGAGATAGCACATGCTGGGGCTAGAACAGCACCCACTCACAGTGATGGGGGCACAGACCATCTGAGGTGCCCAGCCAAACACCATTCATTCATTCATTCTCTGGTGCTTGGAGATTCAGCACTAAATAGACAAAATCCCAGTGAGTTTGTTTGTTTTTTCAGGGCTTTGTGCTTGGCAGGCAGAGGCTCTACCACTTGAGTCATGCTACACCCCTTTTTGCTTTAGTAATTTTCTAGATAGGGTCTCCTGACCCTCTCCCCCTCTCACCTAGGCTGATCTGGACCACAATTCTATTTATGCTTTCCTTATTCCTACCACTCATGAGTAGTTTCAGTGAAAGAAATGTGGACATGGAGGAATCCAAAAGGAGATTGAACACCTGTCATCACCTCCATTTCACAGATGAGGAAGACCAAGGCATCTGCAAAAGTCCACACAGCTGATGAAGCAGGGACAAGACTTTTATAATCTCACAGGTGGCCAGATCCTAATCAGCTCCATCCCTACCTTGGTTTTACAGATTGGCAAGCAAAGGGGACAGGACTTGCCCAGGGTGTCTATGGCTCAGGCCCATCCCTTTTCATGAGCTTCTCATGGATGCAAGAAGCCTGAGGATGAATCTGCTCCTGTAGTTCTGAGGCAGGAATCCTAGGCATAGTTTTCCTCCCTTCAGGGATGCCTCCCTGTTCTTAGGAGTTGGACAATCTGGGTTCTTGGGTAGACTGGTCTGGCATAACCAGGCTCAAAGTTCTCCCAGGGCTTTAGGGCAGGCAGGCGCTGGCCAGGGTGCTGAACTAGTACAATGCTCTCCTAACTACTCAGGAGAGCATCAGAACCTCCATGACTGTTTTGGCCAGTGTTTGGTGGGAGAGCCTTGGAGTTGAAGCCAAGATTTTCTAAGGTCAGTGTGGCTCTGGGAAGGTCATCCTTACTCATCTGCCCTGGACTTGCTTTTTCACTTGTTCGTTGAGCTTCCATCTTACTAAACTCAGAAGGCTGAGGTGAGCAGCCGCTGGGGGCAAGTGATTGCTATCCTTTAGAGCCCAAACCTGGTTTTGACACCCAGAGAAGCCTCCAAGGAGTTTACCATCCAGAGGGCTCTGGGCTTGTCTCCTCTGCAAGGTGGAGGCTGTGCTGGGTGGACCAGAGTCCCCTTCTGCTCCAGGCATTCTGGAACAG